ATATATATATTTATATATGGAAAGCCAGAAATAGAAAGTCTCCATTTTCCTGTGGTGTCTGGTTGTACTGGCATGCCAATGGACTATTGGAACTCTGACTGGTGACGAGGTATGGAAGTGTTCAGAGTGAGAACTTGCACCACAACCTCCCCTTTCCTCTTGCAGTGTGATAAGTGGTGTTGGTGAACTGGATATAGAGAAGGACACTCCAAAGAAAGAAGACACTGAGGCTAAAGACACTCCTTATCCCGACTGCCCCTTCCTGCTTTTGGACGTACGGGACCGCGACGCGTACGACCAGTGTCACATTATTGGAGGTGAGGAGGCTACAGCAGCCTCAGCTGGGATCATCCTTCCAGTGCCATCTCATATTGGAGACTGTAGTGGCAGGGGGGGGGGGGGGGGGGGGGACAAGGGGTGATGGGTTTAAACTGAAACAGGGGAAGTTCAGGTTGGGTATAAGGAAGAAGTTCTTCACAGTGAGGGTGGTGAGGCACTGGAATGGGTTGCCCAAGGAAGCTGTGAATGCTCCAACCCTGGCAGTGTTCAAGGCCAGGTTGGATGGAGTCTTGGGTGTCATGGTCTAGTGTGAGGTGTCCCTGCTATGGCAGGGGGCTTGGAGTTAGATGATCTTAAGGTCATTTCCAACCCAAACCATTCTCTGATGTGGTGTCCTGGCTGGCTTCATTTATTTCTGTCACGATGGGACATCACTTGGGTGCAGAATGCTCTCAGCACTTGCTCAGTGCACCCATCTTTCCTGGAAAGGGATGAGGAGACTGATATTAACCCCTGACTCAGTGGGTTTCCAAGTCTACTGAACCCCTTATTCAGTGGGTTTCCAAATCTATGGGGCCCTATCGAGTCTGTGTCAGTTGTACTCCAGGTTGTGTGATGGTCGATGGTCAGCTGCTGTGTGACTTTTCTCCCTTTGTTTTTCTTCTCCTCTGCAGCTTATTCCTACCCTATTGCAACGCTGTCTAGAACCATGAATCCATACTCAAATAGTATTCTGGAATATGTATCCTTTACATATCAAGTGCTGGCATAAAACAAATAAGGGGGGGGATGCTGGGGAAGGCTTTCAAAAACAGTTGGAGCTGAAGCAGTTGCTGCGACTGTGACAATGCTTAACAAAATCCAGGGATTTCAAGGAGGGTGGGAAGGGAGGCTCTTTATGCTGGCTGTGGTTACCTGGTGCAGCTCTACTGCTGTCAGTGCCAGATTCTGGTTCCTCAAGGCTGTGACACCTCTTGACTCCATTGGGAGCTGCCTGAACGTGGCATTTCATGGGATTTTGGCTGCTGGAAGGCAAAGCCATGCTTGGGCTCCTGTCCCCTGCTGTTGCTGGAGTGCTGGGCTTCTGAAGGGACACATTCATCAAATCCTCAGGCTTCCTCTCAGCACCTTGATGGGGATTGGCTTTTCTCTGGGGGTTAGAAAGAGGATTATCAGGTAGGATTAGGCTGATAATTGTTCTCTTGTGAGGGCTGCAGGGGAGAGGGGAGGTTGTCAGTGAAGGTGCTTCATGCTGTTGCCTGTTACTAACCAATGTTCAACATAGTGGTGGACACTTGCTGCAGGGGCTGCACTCCAGTGGGGATTAGGCTGTGTCCTTCCAGTGTCTGGCAAGCCTCATCTCCAAGAGAGCAGGTTTAAATCAACACAGGCAGGGAATACTTGATTTAAATACTGATGCTTGCAAAGCAAACAGGGAGTCTCTCAGTTTCCAGTCCCATTTGTTTCTTTTTTTTCTTCTCTAAAAGGGTATTAAGAGTCACCTGAAGTTCCCAAATGAATCCTTAACTCTTAGCAGAAAAATGCCCATGGAAAAATTATCATTTTATATGACAATGATGAGAGACTGGCCAGCCAGGCTGCAACAACTATGTGTGAGAGGGGCTTTGAGAATGTCTTCATGTTATCTGGAGGTAAGTGGGGATGGGCAGGACTTCCTGAGACCCCAGGAGGGTAGATAATGAGCAGAGCGCAAGGGTCGTGTGAGCTGGAGGTTGGGAAGAGCTGGATATTCAGCTCTGCCGAGTGTTTTGCTTGGGACTGGTACACTCACTGATCCCATCTTAGCTGGTGGTTCACTGGTAACGTGTGATGTGTCCGTCTGCAGGTCTAAAGGTCCTTGCACAGAAGATCCCAGAAGGACTCATCACGGGCTCGCTCCCTGCATGTTGCCACATAGGAGCTCCCTCTGGATCTGCCCGGAAAAAGCCCTCTCTGAAAGTGCCACTCACACGTGCTGAGAACAGATGGAGGTTTTCTGAGGATAATCTACAGAAGATTAGATACTACCTTGAAGAGGAGCACGTTCCTCCAGACACTGCCAGTAAGAGCCCAGGCCATAAGTGCTGCAGCACTTTCTGTAGCTCTCGAGCCTGTCCTGCAGCAGTTCTCTGTGATAACCCTTCCATGAGGCTGCTGCCAGAGAGGCTTGTTTCCTAAACAGACTGAGAGGACCCACCAAACCCTGTGCTGTGCCAGTCCCAGTCGATTTAGATCTTGCATAGCCACACGATAGCAAAATCCTGGATCTGCTGAGGGTGGACATGTGCCATTTTGCTCACTGTATTTAAATGCCTTTAGGTTTTACTGGTGATTAGTAGGTTCTTCAAATGCTTAGGCCTCCATAGATAGAAACTGTGCCCAAACCCTGCACTGAATTATCCATGGGTCTGTATGTTTACAGGGAGAGCTGGAGAGCCAGCAAGGGACAACAGATCATAGAATCCCAGACTGGTTTGGGTTGGAAGGGACCTTAAAGCTCTTCCAGTTCCAACCCCTGCCACAGGCAGGGACACCTTCCACTAGAGCAGGTTGCTCCAAGCCCCTGTGTCCAACCTGGCCTTGAACACTGCCAGGGATGGGGCAGCCACAGCTTCTCTGGGCACCCTGTGCCAGCGCCTCAGCACCCTCACAGGGAACAGCTTCTGCCTTATCTCCAACCTGAACTTCCCCTGTTTCAGTCTGAACCCATCACCCCTTGTCCTGTCACTTCAGTCCCTGATGAAGGTCCTTCTCCAGCACCATTGTAGCCCCCTTCAGACCCTGGAAGCTGCTCTGAGGTCTCCAGCAGCTTCTCTTCTCCAGGCTGAACAGCCCCAATGTTCTCAGCCTGGCTCCATACAGGAGCTGCTCCAGCCCCCGAGCATCCACGTGTGTCCCTGTGCTCCATCCCACACTCAGCTCCTGATCTTTGGGTTATTTCTTTCCCCTACAGGCCGCTTTAGCCGTGGTTCTTCAGGACATGATTCCAAGGCAACAACCGTGAGGAGCAGCCCCAGTCTCCCCAGCACTGCTGGCAACGGGGGAGCCCTCTCTGCCCGCTCGCTCGGCAGGAGCAGCATCCAGAGCAGGCCATGGAAATAAGCAGCAGTGTCTTATGCCACTGAATAAACCGATGTCCAGGTTCTGGGAATGCTGAGCAGTGCAGCCCATTTGTCTTTTAGGAATCCACAGACAGAAGCAGAGGTGGTGCGTAAGTGGCAGCTCGGGTGAGGCTGGGGGAGCTGCAGTGATTGATGTTTCATAGGAGCAGGACCAGAATCACTTCAGCGAGGCTGATCCTTAGGTGCTGTGTCAGGACAGAGTTGATATAACTCATTTTGTAGGGGAGGGAACTGGTAGTAAAGCCTGTGACCAGTAGAAATGGTTCTGCAAAGCTTGTAGGTCAGATGAATGCATTTGTGTCTGTAACATCCCGTGCCCTGAACCACAGACTGAGTGAACAGGAGAACACAGGTTCTGTGATTCTAGGTGGAGGTAAACAGGCCAGAAATCATCTGTGAGCAAGACCTTTGGTGTCTTGTAGCAGTGACAAAGACATTCAGCATCTTGCCAAAACTTTGGAGAGAGGATTCCATGAGTTAGGTGTTATTTTGTTGTTGGTTTTCTTAATTTATGTTAATGCTCAGAAGTAGTTGTAATAGGCCAGGTTGGAGCAACCTGCTCTAGTGGAAGGTGTCCCTGCCCATGGCGGGGGTTGGAACTGGATGAGCTTTAAGGTCCCTTCCAACACAAACCGTTCCATGGTCATAAAGGTGGTTTTGGAATTCACTCCCAGCGTGGCACTGTGACCCGAGTGTCACGTGTGTGTACTCATGGCCACTTTGTGAAACACTTCTGTGTACTTAAATGTGAGCTGGAGGAGAAACTAACTGTGTGTTCCCTCCTTTCTCCCTTATTGTCTGCAAAGTTTGGCTTCTAACTCTGCTTTTCCTGCTTTCTTCCTTGCTGTGGTTATACAGAGCAACTGTGTGGTGGTTTTGCTTCTAAATGAGAGAGTGAGGCTGCCAGATGTGCTGAGCAGGGCTTTAGCTGACATGTCTTAGGGTAAAATCATCTGCTGTGCCCCTCTTCTGCACACGCAGGCAGAGGTTTGGCTGCACACTGCTGGTTTGCTTCTCTTCCTACTTGCCAGAGCAGGTTGCTGGTCCCTGGAGGTGCAGAAAGCTGTGATGTACATGGAGGAGCCAGACACTCTTCTGCTGACAAGGCTGCACGCCCTAATGATCCTACAGTCGAGGTTAGGAGGGAGAACACCACTTTGGTTCATAAAATGCTTTTGTGATACTTGGAAGCAAACTCTGTCCTTCAGTGGAGCAGCAAAGTGCAGCTCCAGCACCTGACAGAGGCTGGGAATTTCTTCCCACTTACACCCTTGCCAGTGGTTTTGGAGCAGCTTCTTTAAGGTTAGAGTGGCTGAAGGGAAAGCTGCTTGTGCTGTCTCACCTAAAACTCAGAAGGGACCTTGAATCTGGTAACAGAACAGGGCGTATCACAGCTTTCATCATATCAGTGCTTTCACCATGCCAGTGTTGTTGGGTGACCTAGGAATCACCTCAATCTACCCAGTGTTGCCCATTAGAGGTGTTGCAGGTGGTTTTGGAGAGCTCCTGCTCTCCAGCCTTTACCCATGGTATTGCTCAGCTTGGTCCAGCTTTGGATTTGTGGTCTGGTGGGTTTTGTATGTGGCTTTTGTGGCTTTTTGGCTTTGGGTGGGTTTTTCCCCTCCCTTTTTGGGGTAGACAAGCTTCAACAGCCCCCAGTTCCCCCGTGGTGCAGATCACCAGGGAATAATCCTGGTGAAATGGCGAAGTGAGAGGAATGGCACGTGATTTCCAGGGTGGCAGTTGAAGACTCAACATCCCTGAGCACATTGATCGTGTTTATTGTGTGTCTGTGAGTCTTAAATCAGGGAGTGCTGATACAGGGAGTCTCATTCTGATAAGAGCCATAACCTCACAGTGTTCTCCAGGGAAGAGTGAGGTGAGCACAAGCCTCTGATGCCATGTTGGGATCCCTCAAAGGGAGAATAAGAGAAGAAATCAAGGGGCATAGGGCAGAGCCAGCATTTAAAATGTGCTTTGAAGTACTTCAGAGACCTGGATGCCCCTTTGTCTTCAAACACACACCTATATAACAAAACCTGGTTCCAGGGAGGTGACTTAAAGCTCCCAAAGCTTCCCAAGGAAGTCCTTTGGATGCTGTCAAGTTGTACAAACAGCTCTAATGTGTACAAACTGCCCTTGCAACCCTTCCACTAAGGAGCACACGTGTCCTGGGTTTCTACAGGAGGTGTGTGTATGTACTATAAGTGCGTGTGTGTACTCTAAGTATTTACTATAAGAGTCAGGCTGGTGAGGCGTGAAGGTGATAAATACTAATGGATCTGGTTGTGTCTTCCTTCAGCCCATCTGTAGGAAGCTGGATGCATCTTGCTGCCTTACTAACTGCTTTGCTCATACCTTCCTACTCAAACACACCTCTGGAACACTACTTGTAGTTGTAGGTGTGTTGGTTTTGAATGAAGTATCTCATCCTCCTGTTGGCTTTTTGGGGAGCAGCAGCAGCACTTCTTGAGACAGAAGTGTTTGTTTAATGGTGTGAACCCAGAGCAGGAGCTGCAGGGACCTGGGGTTTGTCCACACTCTTCGCTTGCAGCCTCAGGAAGCTGATTCACCCCTTGGGGCTTTAATTAGTGGGAGGTGATGCTTTTTTAGGTGGCCTGATGCAATAAATAAAAGCTAAAGAAAACTTCCTAAAGGAGTTTGGTGTTGAAGCATCACAGAAATACCACGTTTAGCTTTGAATGTTGGGTTATAACATGGCTTAATGATGCTGCATGGTCTCGGTGTGCTGAGTCTGCTCCTCCTCCCTGTAAAGCAGCTTCATTTCTATGTCCTTGTGAAATAAAGTAATTCATCAGTCTTTTGTGCACCATTCAGTTGGCAGCTTTGCTTCCTGCTGTAGCTGAGTGTGCACAGGAGAGCTGAGAGCCACGGGGAAGACAGGGACCAACCCAGCACATGGGGTCCCACCAGTGTGTGAGTAGGACTTTGAGCTCCACAACCACTTGGAAGTGTATAAAATGCATCCACCTGGAAACAGAGCTGGGAAAGCCCTGATTTTGCTGTGGGAGATGGATCCAAACCCCACAACTACTGGGGGCTGTGGGAAAACCTCCTGAAATGGACAGACCAAACTAGTCTGAGCTGTTTGAGATCCTCCGCATCCAGAACTGAATGTACTTCCCTGTTGTCTTGATGGATTTGTATAGTTTGGGGCCTCTTGGCTTGATGTTCTCTGGAGGATGGGGTCAAACTCTGGGAGTTTGAACTGCTTAATTTAATAAAAACTAAATGACACCTTGTGGTTGAGTCCTTCTTTCAGTTTGAGCTTTGAGAGCTCTCAGAAAGCCTGGGGTGGTGCCTGTGGAAAATGGGAGTTACGGCAGGCAAGGAAGGACCTTTCTTGCCACCACAAGTTGATGTTCAACCACACAAAGACACAGAATCCATCGCTCCAACCCAGCTGCCTCATATCCCAGGTCTCTGCTTGCCCAGTAAGTGTCAAACTGAACATCTTCCCCTTCCAGAAGCAGAGGGAAAACAAGCACCTTCCTTTCTGTTGTGTCCCACTGTTTCCATGCCAGGTTGGACACAGCCTTGGGTGACATGGTCTGGAGTGAGCTGTCCCTGCCCATGGCAGGGGTTGGAACGGGTTGATCTTAAGGTCCTTTCCAACCCAAACCAGTCTGTGACTCTATGCCCATTTAATCCCCTTTTTGGGCCAGCACACTTTATGTTGGCTGAGGAGCACCAAGTTGGTCTCCAAAAAGACTTTTCACCTTGACTTGGGAAAAGGGAAAGCAAGAAAAGGCATTTCTCATCCTTCCTTACATTGATTTATTGCATTTTTCCCTCTCCAGCTCATTCCATCACCACGCGGGACCTGACCCTGGTTAGTAGGGATGCTCCAGCGTGTACTGCATGATGACCTTCAGCGCCAGCCACGTCTCCTGGGCCGTTGGGATGATCTGGCTGGCAGGGAGCAGGAAGCCGTAGCGCCCTGTGTCCCGCAGCTCGAAGGTGAAGGAGTATTTAATGCCCTGGTTGTATGTCCAGTCAACAGTAGATCCGCTGGCTTGATCTGGATGGAGAAACAGGAGGGACACTGTTGGTCAGGTATTTCATGGGATCTGCTGTCTAAGCTGAGGTGGGAGTGATGCTTTTGGTTTATTTTGGGCTTGCCACTGCTGTCCCCTCCCCGTTACTTACAGATGGTGGTGAAGATGCTGCCGTACTTGTAGCTAGTGCCATAGAGAGAGGAGAGAGCTGTGACTGCCTCCTTAGATATCTCGTGCTGGGAATACACAGGAGGGAGAAAGATGAGCCAAAGAAAGGGAAACCCTGTGGGATACAACCTGCAGGAGAGGCTTCTCCTCATGCCATAGGCAAAAAGGATGTCAAAGCTCAAAAGGGAAGTCCCCAGAGGAGCCAGGGCTTCTTCCCAGCTTGCCAATGCCTCCCTTCATGGTGCAGGACAGAGGTTGCTCCTCCTAGGAGGAGGAGGAGAGCAGCCTCACATCACCCCAGCCCCCTTCACACCTCCACGTCAGCCCTACCAGTTCCTCGTGGTCAGGCACTGGGGTGCTGGTGTGGCCGTAGGGGTAGAGCAGGAGCTGGGAGTAGCTGTGGATGGAGATGAAAGCCTTGATGTTCCCGTGGTTGTTCACGAAGTCCACGATGGCCCTCACCTCGGGCTCCGAGTTGGCGTAGGGTCCATGGTACGTCTCTGAGCAGGGGTTTCTGCTGGCCCCAGAGCCTGTGCAGAAGAGGACAGTGAACACAGTGCGAGTGGCTGGGGGCAGTTGGGCAAAGGGCCCATTTCCAAGCTCAAGAGCCTTTGCCACCCCTCAGCCAGTGAGGAACGCTCTGAGGCTCCTCCTGGGTAAGTGTGTGATGACTTTCAGTTGTGGTCTCCACCATGGGGATATCGGTGCCCTGATGGAGCCCAAACCCTCATCTGCCATGGAGAGCAAATCTCATCTCCTCCCCAGGGGACATCACTGGATCTACCTGAGCTAGAAATGGCCTCAGAGCTTCCACCTTGATGGTGGAACCTCAACACAGGGTGAATGGGGGAGCTCTGACCTCCAAACGCCGCGTTCCAGTTGCGGTTTGGGTCCACACCGACGCAAAGGGAGCCCGAGTGCCTGGACCTGGTCTTGCGCCACATGCGGTTCTGGAAGGGCAGAGTCATCTCAGCTGGTGGCCAGGGCCGGAGCTCCACCAGCCTTGAGGGAATGGGGAGGACAATGGGTCGTGGTGGTCCCCTTCCATCCCATGGAAACATGGACAAGGAGGTTTTGATGTGCAGCACCCCCATCCAGCACGGCTCTAGGAGCTGGGGAGAGGAAAGCCAGGGCAGTACCTGGGTGTGGGTGAAGGCGAAGCCGTCGGGGTTGGTGACTATCTCCAGGAAGATGTCCAGCTCGTTCAGGACAGAGGCCAGACCCTCATCACTCTCGTGATCCTCGACAATCTAGAGATTGGATGGTGGTTTATGGTCCTCATTGCTCCTGGAGCACCAGGCTCTCTATGGGGTCAGCCCCCTGGCACCCACAGTGGCTGCAGGCCCTTGTGGACACGAGACATGTCCTGGAGGAGGTGTCTGTACCTTCTTGGCAAACCAGACCCCGCTGGCCTGTGTCACCCACTCCCGGGAGTGGATGCCGGTGTCGATCCAGATGGCCGGGCGGTTCGTGCCCCCTCTGCTGAACTGGAAGAGCAGAGATGGGGGGGTTGGCTTTGTCCTTGTCCCCACTTCCCCCTCAGGTCACCCCATGGACCCCAACCCCTCACCTTGAGCACGTAGAGGGGACGGTCCTCCGTTGACCGGCCGATCTCGAGCTTGCTGACCAGGTTGGGGTTCTCGGCCACCAGCAGGTCTATGAAGGCGTAGATCTGGAGGAGAGCAATGGGGGGTCACAGCCAGTTTCCACCCCCTGCCCCTGCTGCGCATGGAGCGAAGAGCAATTCCATTATGTGATTTTCTCACCCCCCCAAAATGCCCCAAATCTTGTGCTTTCTCACCTCATCCAGGGTATGGTAAGCGGCGTAGTTGAAGCTGTCAGTGGAGAGCACCAGCTGGCGTGGGAGCATCTCCATCCGCTCGTCTTCCACCAGTGCCTTGAGGACAGGGGACAGGATGAGACATCGTCCCACCACACCAAGACCCTTTGTCTCACCTGCCTCCCCTCCACCACCACTGACCTGCACGTCCTTGATCATGATGGAGTAGGAGATGTCGTTGTCCTCCAGGTGCTCTTTGAGGGGCTGGAGGCTGGGTAGGGGCACTCGGATGTCCACGGGGTGCCCAGGGACACGGGGTGGCAGCCAGAAGTCCAGCTGCAGGGGGAGGGAGTGAGATGGGGTCAACCCCCCCTCCGGGGGTCCCCCACATCCCCCAGCCCCTATCTTGCTTTCCCCCAGCCGGTCACCATCACCCCACATCCAGACCCATCACCTCACATCCAGCACACCCAGCCCTGCTCTACAGAGTGGTTTTGGGGTGCAAAACAAGGAACATGGGCTGGGAAGGGCTGTCCCTAAGGCTCCCCACCTTGCCATCGCACCATACCTGCAGCTCCTCCATGTCCTGCAGCTCATGTACCTTCTGCAGCTCCTCCTCGGTGGTGGGGATGATGCGCAGCACTTGGTGCCTGTGGGATCAGGGGGTCACCCCATGGATCCAGCCTAACCCCATCCTATCCACCCCACCACGCTGGGATTCATTCTGAGCCTCTTCCCAGGGGTGTCTTTGCCCCTT